AATAAATATATTTTTATAATTTGAGCTAACTTACATAATGCTAGCTTACTTAATGCTAGTAGAATTAAAATCAGCAACTTATACAACTTAAATCTTTTTATTTAGTATGAAAATATAAAGATGATTTATTATCTAATATTAAAATCAACAAACTATGAAAAATATTACTTATTTACCACAACCTAAATACTCTTCAAATCTTTTTTATTCAACAGGTAAGTATAAAGATGATTTATTATCCATGTTGAATTAAAATCAGCAAACTATAAACATCATACTTAATTACTACAATCCAATCCTCTTAAATATTTATCTAGTGAGTGATATAAAGATGATTTATTATTCGAAGAAATTCTAAACTTTAATACTTAGTACCAGTACTTCTTTAAACTAATAAAATCACAATACTAAGTGTAATATAATTTAGTTTTTACGATTACAATTATTTTCATTACTCTTGAGACATCTAATTAAAAATTAGACTACCTAATTCGATAAGTTTTTGATTTCGGTATATAATATATACTAATCATTCTGAAATTAAAAATTTCGAATCGGATAGTCGGAGTAATGAAATTAGCTATAATTGATCGAGAATTTTTTTTTTAGTATAATGGTCGGCTCGGTCGACCAGGCCGAACGATATTGACCTCATCCTCGGCCTAAGGTTTTGCCATCGGCCCACATAACGATAGACAATTAGTTGTATATAATTAAACGGACTATGATTTTAAATTTCTCTGGGCTTTTATTTAGTATATATGTTAAAATTTAAATAAGATTAAAATTTTTTTAAAATTTAATTAGTAAAATTATTTTAGTAGATTTCTTAAAATGTTTAAATATTTAAAATTGGCAAAATCTTAAGTATATGGAAATATATGATTTAATAAAATTTAAAAATTGGCAAAATCTTAAATATATGGAAATATATGATTTAATAAAATTTAAAAATAAGTAATTAAGAAATTATCTAGTAATATTAATATATTTAACGATTAAAGTAAGATTTTTTTTAAAGAGTCATATCTATTAAGTATTTTATTATTCAAATAGATACGGATATCCGGATTATCTGGATTATAACGGATAACGGATAAGTAAATTGGCTATCCGGATGATTATAATTTTAAACGGATATGGATAAGGGATAAGGACATGGGATATCCGGATAAGCTAAGGCCAGGGTCTCAAACCCTGCACAACCATTAATTCTAAAATCGATAGAACAAAATAGAAAATTCTATTACATTCGGAGAACATTAAAATTTTGCGTAACCCAAATTATACAATATGAGTATCACAGAAAAATTTGAGGCAGATCGGTAAATCTCGGAAAGCTAAACAATCGCACGTCGGGATTTGACCTAATTTAGAGAATATTAAACCTCGTTTAATTTTAATGATTGTTTAATATTTCCCACCTACACCCTCCCATTGTACAAACATAAAAAAAAAAAAATAACGTTAAACAAAGTTTCAAATTCAAACAGGCGAAATTAATGTGTCTGATGGATATCCACATGGCAAGACCCGTATTACCATAGTTTCTACTGAGTATAGGAATTCTCCATCCGTCAAGATTACTATAAAATAATTCAGAACCGGTCTAGACCAGTCATTTTCAAGGTTGACTCAATCCTAAACAAGATTGAAAACAAAGAAAAGAATTTTTTATAAATATGTAATATAGAAAACGAATTTTCTTAGAAACGGTAAACTCCGAGAATTTGCATAATAATAAAGAATTTAAATACAATACATTTAAATAGCTAGGGATAAATAAGTCAATTTTGTTATTGTTATAATGACAAAGAAATATTTCAACTTTATAATCGGAAATTCATTTTTAAACAAGGGTTAAAAATGTTGCCACGAATAATTATAGAGGTAATAAAATATTTAGATTAAAAAAAAAAAAAAAAAGATCTAGGTGTCACAAGGAATGATATCAAATTTTGTACAATGAGTAATCAGGATAATCAAAATCCAAAAACGGAACAAAGCTATCTTTGTTTTTTGGAACCAGTACTCGACTCTTGGTTCGCACGTGGTTCAAGATATTAGATATATAACAATTGTGCCTATTTAAGTACTAGTGAGTTACATAAACATTTTATTATTTTGGAATTAGTTTGTAAGACCAATTTCCAAATTAGTTTATGGGATATGGTCGCAAAAAATCAAAGTTTTAGCAGGAACTCGTATTTTATTTGTGAATTCTTCTTTATTTACTAGTTACATTGAATTTTAAAAATAAATCGTTACTAATTAGTATTTTCAAAATTGGAATTAACTGTTTGCCAAGTAATTCAAGTATTTGATTGTACAGAATTATTTCTGGAATGAAAATTTTGTGAATGATTGGTTCCTTAATTTTATTAAATTTAACAAATCATATTGAACTTAAAAAGATACACTGTAAATCCTAAATACATGTACAGTACAATACATTACTATGGAATTTTTTTATTTTCACGTAGAATATTACAATCTTATTCTATCACTTGTTTATTACTTATAACCAATTTTTTTTTTCTAACTAAAATATGTATATTTTCTACCTACTTTACAATTTTATATAATATTGATATGAGATGAATTTAAATAGTTGCCTTTTTAATTTGTTTTGCCGAAAAAAAAAATGAAAATGAAAAATGTAATATGAAATAAAAATTTAACAAATTATATTAAATAATTATTTAAATTATTCAAAAGAATAAATAATTATTTAATTGCTCATTTGTTAATGTATCAAAAATAAAAGTTGAATCTAATATTAAAGAATTGGAATTTACAGTTTCAATTGAATTACTATTGAAATCTTGTGATAAAGTTGTATCAATGCTAAAATTTTCATAATTATCAAATGGTAAGATTTCCGTTGGTTGCATTTCATAATCAACATAGTTAAAAAAGTCTAAATTGAAAAGATGTTCTTGTTCGTTCGACTGAAATAAATTCAAAATTTCTATATCTGAGCACAAATATTGAGATTCATTTATTACCTGTGTCTCTTGTGGCATGTTTACAATATCATAATTTTCCTGAGGAATGTTACTATTGAATGAAAATATATGTTCATTTGAAGAAGGCTGTGATTCACGAAGTTCAATAATAGATGGAGACAGCAACCATTGTAATTTCTCATCAAAATTTTCAGGTGTAATGTTAGATTTTTTCTTCTTATTTTCTTTCGATTTAGGTATAAATTTATAATTTGGAAAAATATCACGATGAACACGTCTACCGAGTTCTGCTAGTAAAGTATATCGATTTTTTGTTTCATATGAAGAATTTGCCCATCTTTCACCAATAATTTTTGATATTTGGTCTAATTTCTCGTATGGATGTTCCTCTTTTATTTCGTCATGAATATCCTTTCGATACAAGATAAATGCGTTTTGTGGTCGTGTGATTTTATCTCGCTTTCCTCGAGTTTTTTTACATGGAGACAAAAGTTGTTCAACTGAGTGTTTGAATTTAAAATCTTTTCTATTGGAAATAAATCCTTTAAGATTACTTTCGATTGAAATTCGAAGTTTTTCTTTATATTCAGTGGTTTTAAAATAATGAATATATTTTTTTCTTTGTGATTTCGTCATATTTGGTTTTGATATTGTCTGTCTATCTTTTGCCCTCTTTTATAAGTTTTTTTTGGCGGTAATTGTTTATATATTCTTTTTTCTATTTTGTCTTTGTTTTTTATATTTAGTTCTAGACTACGTTAGTGATAAAGAAAAGGTTGATCATTTTTTCTATTTGTCTTTGTTTTTATCTTTAGTTCTATGCTACGTTAGTAATAAAGAAAAGGTTGATCATTTTTAAACATCGGTTTATATAATGATACCAAGAACCAATCCAATTACCATGTTTCAGGTATGGTTAGTTTTTTCTAAACCCAAATTTAATTTTCAGACTTTGTGTAATTTAATTAAAGTAAATGTTTCTGAAATTGACTAAAATTTTTGTTACACTATTCTTTGTATTATCATTTTTAAAGATAATCAGGCGAGGCCAATAATTTCTTTAAATTTCATGTTTCAAAAGACCATACAGAAAATTCAGTTTATCGATATTCTGTTACCAAATCTTTATTGTTAATGCAGAAAAAAAAGTTGTCAATTCGTTATTTAATCATTAAAATTTTTTCTTTTTTTTTTTATGAAAGAATTTCTTTGGTTGATAATATCCGATTATGTTGGAATTTGTGAATAATATTTGTATCAGAGCTATTAATAACATATTGTTCTTTAGTATTATATTTTATTGATAAACAAAAAAAACTTTAAATATTCTCAATGTAATATTCTTTATGTAACATAGTAAATCATACTGATCAAAAACCTTTCAAGGAAAAGACTCGAGATTTTATTTTGCCTTTGAAATTTCCAGTTTTGCTTGTCATATCATCTTCGTTGGATCTTCACATAATTATTACAAAGTATTGAGCTACTGTAAATCATACTTATTATACGTGTCAGGCCATTTAATCACTAAAATTTGGTTAAAAAAATTGTTCATCTTTTTCTTCGAAACGTTTCTGGTTTATATACTAACTATTTGTAAATTTTTTGATCACGAATTGAAACTTTATTTTTTGTTGTCGGAATATTTGATAGTCAAGTATTTTACAGATGTTCTAAATTTTGTTCACGTGACCTTCATTCATTCCATATATAGGGGTCATATAAAGTTAGGTAGTCTTTTATATTTTTGATTTATAAATTAAATTAGTAATCAATCCGAAAGTTACCTTTATATGATCCCACAAATATTTAAACATGTTACAAATATTATTTATAAATTCCAGACCCCTGGTTTATTTTTATATCATTCCTTATAAATAATAGAAAGGTGTCTTAAAAAGGTGAAACATGCTGAGTAAAGGTATATCAGGTATGACTTTTACTTATTGAACACAAATATCGATACTTAGTTGATGTATCTACAGCCCCGAAAATTCTCTCCGTTGATAGTGTGGCATGTTTTCCCTTTTTTGAAATCATTTGGTCGCGTTTATTTTCCTCTAAACACAAGATTATTAAGGGTACAGTTATGGTAACGAAACACAACATAAAATATGTCTAATACAGTACTTTATCATTACTTTTTTTTTTTTCCTTTCATAAAAAAACTAGTTAATCGTATTCTAATCAAAATTTAGAAACTCCCAAAAGTGGGAATGAAGGAATTAAATGAAAAACGAACAAATCAAAATGTTACCCAAATGAAAACACCAAATAAGTATTTTTTTTTATCAATAGATTAATAGATTACTACTCCTATTAAACCGCCGCTTATATAATTTTATTGCAAGTTAAATCTCGATATATCAAATTTTTTATCGATTAAAATTATGTGTAATCTTGAATTCTCAATTTGTTTGGTTTATCCGTTTTAGCCGATCGATATTTCTAATATGTGCAGTTTCGTATATGTTTATTATATTATTATACATTAATCGCAAAACAAAGATTAAAAACAAAGAAGTAAGATCTCCCTAATGTTCTTTAATTGGTCGAACTTGTGCATATTGACAATCATCTAAATTTAGCCATTTATCTATATTTCGTAATCGATTATGTTACCATTTTCACATGTTTCGTACTACATGCTATTGATGACATCAAAAAACGTTAGATGATGATGATTCATTATTGTCTAAATATGTTTCTCGATAATTCTTGAATCCTGATCTCTAATTTTCCCATTAATGTATTTATAATAATGTCGATTTATTAAGAGGTTAATAAAAGAAAATGGTATAAAAATAAAGTGATGATGTTCGTTGTCTATTACGCAAGTTTTACTAATATCAAGTTATAAACTCCAATTTTTCATCTTTTTAATGTCAATTATCATGCTTTTCCATGAACCTGCAAATTTAATAAATGGATAATTACCATTTTAAATCTGAAATACACGAGTAGTGACACAAACTTTAGCCGAGGAACTGTTTGAGAATCTATAAATTATTAATTAAGATTTTAAATTTGAAAAACACGAATAATGACACGAACCTTAGCAGAGGAACTGTTTGAGAATCTATAATTTATTAATTATCGATAATATACTTACAGTAAAATGGTCCTAATTAGAAATAGCATTAATGTATTTCAATAGAAAAGGGAGAAATTTAAAAACTAACCAAATATATTAGTTATAACATTGTAATTACTGCTTATATCTAATTATAATTGATTAGAATTAGGGTACGAGACCCTTGTATCGCAATTTCTAGTTAGTAGATAAGTCATTGATTTAAAAAAAATAAATACGTAATTACAGATAAGAACCTAGCCTAACCGGATTTATTCATTTAATTTTGATAGTTGGTAGCAATTTAAATAAATATACAATCTTAATATAAGATTGCCAAGGAGTTTAATAAACATTTTTGTGAAGACTATATAGTTGCCGGGGTAATTACTGAATTAGCAAAATGCCGTAATATTCATAATACTGTAAATTATAAATGTAAAAATTAAACATTCCAATTGGAAATTAATTCACTGTCACAAGATTTCAGAATAAATTTATCACTATTTA